CTTAACCCAAGGAGGGCTGGGTATCTCCTTTCCATCTAGTACTTTCTCCAGCAGGTGTTTTGGGGTCTATGGGAGCTCCCGTGCTGCCGAGGGTTAAGCATTGGGCTGCTAACCATAAGATAAGTGATTCGAACCTGCCAACAGCTCCATGGAAGAAAAAGGAGGCTGTCTGATCCTACAAAGGTTTAGTCTCGAAGGAGGTGGGGCTTGATGGTGGCTAGCGTGAAGGTGCAGTGAAGTTCGCCGTCAGCCATACCACAGAATACCAGGCAAAGCAGATCCAGGGCAGAGCTCCCAAACTCGGAACCACAGAGATAGGAATATTTTAAAGGTTTGAAGGCTTATAGCTTGTGGGGTTTAGAGCTGAAGTAAAAAATTGCACACTTTTGAATCTGCCGACATCCTGGGCGAGACCAAGCGGCAAGACGAAACAGGAGAAGCAGAAACACCATGGAAAATCACCGCGGGAACCTTGGGACAAAGGTGAACAATATACTTTGTCAGTTTAGCTTTGTTCTGATTTACTTTTGTTCTTTGGTATCTGGTAATTGACGCGCTCACTGTTTGCCAGCCTCCATTCTGGTGACTAGAGGGAGAGCCTGAGCCGAGTGGCCACCCCCCACCCTCACCGCTGGTGGGTTCTTCTGGCACGCATGCGCACAGATACTCAGCCCAAGCAGAGGTCCTGAACTTTTATTATCTGTTTCCTTTTTGTTCTGTTTTTTTTTATCACGGGAAAGAGAAGGAGAGGGCTGAAGGGAGGGAAAGAGAGTTTAAAGGCAAAACAGGCCAAAGGTTGGATTGGAGCCTGAGGTATAACATAACAACCAACACTGGCAACTTGGAATCTCTCGGGCAGCTTTGAAGGCAGGAACTTGAAGAGGACCTTAAAGTGATACTCATATTAAGCTATACATTTTTAATTTATTTTTTCTTCTCTCCCTCCTCTCGCTTTTCTGTGATTAGAGACTGCAGTATTCAGTCTTGTTTTTGTTGGTGCTGTTTTTCAGTCTTTTTTTTCCCCCGCTGGTATTGTTTTGCTGTTATATGCTCCCCCTTCTGCCTTTGGAGGACTCTCTTGTCTCCCTATATTACACAAGAAGAGTCAGCCAACCTACAATCACACTCTATAAAACACCAAAATCCAGGCAAGAACCAATACCAACTGCCATATATCAGGGAAACAGACAACACCTGTGAAAGTTACTCTGAGTTAAGCAATAAGAAGAGTGAGAAGGGAAGCCCACAGCCTGATCACATCTACCTGGAATCAATCAGAAAGCATAAAAAATACTATAACACATATTCAATTAAGTATTAAGGCCACAGATAACCCCTGAATATGCCCCAAAAAACAGAAGCACATTACCATATCTACACATGTTCAGAAACGAGATAAAGTGACTGAGACAAATGACCTAGAGGTAGACCTGGACTCCATTCTGGAAGGAGGGCAGGCCTTGGAAATGCCTGAGAAAGAATTAAGAAAAATGATTATAAAATGTTTCAAAAGGTTTAGTCTCAGAAACCCTATGGATCAGTTCTACTCCTTCCTGTTGGGTCACGAGGAGTCGGAATTGCTAGATGGCAGTGGGGTTCACCAGAGCTCTCCCTTAGGATTTAGAGTTGAAGTCCTGCCATGTTGTGTACATGAAAAAGTGAGCATTGTGCCAGTGGCAATTAGGTGAACTTTGACTCCTGTAGAATAGTCTAGAATAGATGTTGGAAACCCTCCTTCGCCAAAGCAGTCTGAATAGAGCAACCCAGATCAGTTGTTAATACAGATGATGAACTGCAGTCTGGCTGCTGACCTGCAGGCTCTCCCGGGCCTGAGTGAGTAGAGGCTCTGGAAGGAAAAGCTGTAGCTGAAGACTGCTGTTCCTCTTGACCTGCTCCAACCTCCTGCTTCTGTGATATGTTGGTTTCAAGACTTGGTCCATTCATTAGAGGCAGATAGACCTTGCTGAAGCAAGGGACCAGAGAAATTGTTTTCTTTTAATCTTCCACTGCAAAATGATCCTGTAGATTTTTGTCTTCGGCTCTTTTGCAATAACACAGTTTTCACATCCATAAAATGTGGATGAACAGGGGACCCGCTTTCTTCAGTTTCTGGAAACAGAGCAAGTCTGTAAGATGCTCACCTGATGTGCACATCATGTAGACTCATACCTGAGTATGAGTGTCTGCTGTGGCCACTGCCACCCTTAGTGTTGCTACCGTGAATGACAGGGTGTCAGCCTCCCTGACCACCCAGGGTTAACACAGGAACGTGGTCTGATCAAGGAGACATTGGTGTCCTTGACGGGGTACAATTGTGGAGAAAGCCACGGCTCCAAAATTCGTTCCCTCACTACTGCAAATCTGTTTTGTTTTTTTTAAAAGATTTCCTTTCCTTCAACTCCCAATCTTATGTTACAATTATCTACATCCCCCCTCCCCCCCCACACACACAGTTGCCACTGAGTGGGTACTAACGCATGGCAATCCCATGTGTGCCAGAGTAAACTGCTGTACAGGCTGATGGCTGGGTTTTTTTTTTTGTTGTTTTTTTTTTTTGAGGTAAGTAGAAAGTCAGGCCTTTCTTCAGACACACTTCTGGATGGGTTAGAACCTCACAGTCAAGTGTATTAATTAAATAAATCCCTTCTGAAGGCATGTGTATAAAACAAGTCTTCCAGAGGAGAGCGTGAGAGGCTTGAACCTCGATCACACAGACATGCATACAGGTAGAAAAGGCCAATTGGGGGTGGGGTGGGGGTAGGGGTCCAGCAAGCCTAAATCTTACTCTGCATTCAACATCCTCCTTAACCCTCTTATCTTAATATATGCAGCCTTTCACCAGCCCTTATGGGGGGTGGGGGGACAGGGCAGCAGAGAGAGTATTAGAACAGGGTTTAGGTTGCTGGCTTTTTTAATGTGCTAGGATCATTCAGAAAATGGACCGGTCTGTTCCTAGAGTGAGGAGTCCTGGTGTGGTGTAGTGGGCTAATGCGCTGGACTACAAAGTTGGTTTGAATTGCAAGGTTGGAGGTTCAAGCTCACCAGCGACTCCTTGGAAACCCTAGACAGGGTTACTATGGGTTGGAACTGACTCAACAGCACTCAACAACAACAACAACAACAACAATTCCCAGAGTGAGAGGGTTTGGTTGGTTCCTTTCTATGACCAAGAACAGGCACACCTGTAGCTCTTGAATGTGCCACAGTGCACGATTCGGCTATGAGGTTGGCATTCCATAATAGTACTGTGTGGCCCTGCCTTTTAAGTCCAATAGGTTTTTCTACCCAGCTTGCCCTCACAAAGAAAATTTGCTGCTTTATCTTCAGAAGGCATTGGTGATTCACTGGTAGACATCTCACCTTTCACGTGGGAGACCCAGGATCGATTCCTGCCTTGTTCACCTCATACACAGCCATCAACAGTTAGTGGAGGCTTGCATATTGCTCAACAGGTTTCAACAACACTTCCACACTAGGAAGAAAGGCCTGGTGATGTCCCTCTGAAAAAATCAGCCATCTGATTGACAGCACATCATGGGGATGGCACAGATCTGGGCAGTGTTGCGTTTCATCATGGACGTGGTTGTCACAAATCAAGGGACAATGTGGTGGCAGCCAATAACAATATCTACTTCTTTGGCCTTGTAAAGAGTTCAATACAGAGAAACATGCTGATCTGCTGAAGCTCTCTAGTCCTAATGCTTCCATAGCAATGGCCAGTCATCATTAATTCATTCACAGTTTTAGCCCTTCTCAAAGAAAATAGTATTGTAACCAGCCAGTTAACTAACCCTTAAAGAGCACCGCGATGGGGTCCTTCCTGAAAAGTATTAACTCCATGATGGGAAACGGTTCTAACTTGTGTTTGAGACCAATACCCTTCAGGATGTCACCGGTCAAGGTTTTGGTTGGTTTCCTGGGAGATTCTCACCTGCTCAGTTTTTAGTAGGAGATCTTCTATTAAAACATTCCAGGGAGTTTTCAAATAATTTACATCCTCCTTAGGGGAAACCCAGCTGGCAAGGTGGGACAGAGAAGGGAAAGAAAATGGATGGAAGAAAAGCAAGTAATCAAGAGATAAAAAAGCTAAAACTAAGCAAGAGACAGCTTCCTGGGAGCAGCAAACCCACTGGTAAAGACAGAAAATGTACCCCCAAAATGTCCATGTGATGAAGGCGGCGAGAAGATCCTACCAGAACTTGGTAAGCATCAGCTGAGAAGTCAGTTATTGGTGTTCTTCTGCCCAGTTCATTGCTTTTGTTCTTTTCCAGCAACCGGTAGTTGAAGGGAGGAGGTATCAGCTACTCTGACACAGTTTTCCCTGAGAAGTCCCATCACCAGTTGCCATGACTACTAGTAGACACAGTGGTCTGTCACTCACCCATCTAGGAAAACCAACTCCAAACCAAACCAGCTGCTATTGAGCCAATTCAGACTCATGGTGACCCCATGTGTTTCAGAGTAGACCTTCACTCCGGAGGGGTTTTCAATGGCTGTGATCGTTCGGGAATAAACTGCTAGGCTTTTCTTCCGAGGTGCCTCTGGGTGGACTTGAACTGCCAACCTTACCTTTGTAGGTGAGCATCTGGGAAGGAAATAGAAAATGCCCAACCACCTCATATAGTTTGATTCTTGCTAATGGAAACTCCAGCACTCAATTATTAAGATAGCAGCATTATATTAAAGTGAAATCATTTTCTTAAAAAAAAAAAAAACAGTAACACTAAGAAAGAAAAAGGTGCAATTATTAGTTTTAACAATGAGGTTATGAGTTGTGGGCAGCTGGGCTCAGACCACCAACTCAATCAGCGCTCTGCCTCCTAGGGACCAGCGAGAGTCCCAAGGCCTCCGGGTGGCAGAAGTGGGGACAGAGGAGTAGCATTCCACCATTCAAGAGCAGCAGAAACTCTGACATGACAAACGGACAAGGAGGGAAATGGAGCAAGCAGGTGCACATGGAGGCTTCCATGCGAGCAGGCCGCACGTCATTGTCCCCAAGGTTAACTGAACACCGTGTTGTGCTGCTGGGTCACACGGATGAACGTTGCCCTCCTGCTGAGTTCTTTGAGTTTGGCGGCTCCCACATACGTACAAGTTGACCTCAGTCCCCCGAGAATATCCAGGATTGTGTTTTCTACATCTCCTTTGTAAGGCACTTCCACAGTCTTGCCCTCTGAGGCTCTGGAAGAAAAAGGAATTTAAAGTTTGTTTTTATAATCTCATCTATTAGCTATGGTGTGACACTGTAGGATAAGCACTGGACTGCTAACAGTAAGGTCAGTTGTTCAAACCCACCAGCCACTCCTCGGAAACCCTGTACAGCAGGGGTGAGAGACATCAGGCCTGCGAAATCATTTGATCTTGTCCTGTCAAGGCAACCACACTTCCAACCTTCACGTTTGTTGTTGTCGTTGTTTGCCGTCAAGTTGATTCTGACCCATAGCGACCCTGTTTCGGGTTTCTGTGGAGCAGCTGTTGAGTTTGAACCACCGACCTTGCAGTTCAAACCAACCTTGTGGTCCAGTACTTAGAATATATTGTTGTTGTTAAGTGTAATTGAGTCGGTTCCACCCCACTGCGACCCTGTATAGGGTTTCTGAGGAGCAGCTGGTGAGCCTGAACCGCTGACCTTGCAGTTCAAATGGCTTTGCAGTCTGGCGCATTAACCCACAGCACCACACCAGTAGCTCCATTATGGGTGAGTTATTTAAATGTTTGACCAAATACAACAAACTAATTTTTAAGTTGATAATTTTGTATGGCCCGCGAATGATGTTATACATTTTGGCAGAAAAAAGGTTCCCCACACCTGCTATGGAATCCTGGTGTAGCACTGTAGATTAATATGCTGGACTGCAAAGTCGTTTGAAACTCAAGGTTGGTGGTTCAAGCTCACTAGCCGCTCCTCAGAAACCCTATACAGGGTCGCTATGGGTCAGAATTGACTCAACGGCACTTAACAACAGCCCTGTTCCACAGGGTCACTGTGAGTCAAAAGCAACTTGATGGGCACTTAACAACATTATCCCTTAGAAAACCAGCTAGAATTATCCTGCAGCCCCAAGACTTAGGTAGCTAAAGGCCTTGTTACCTCACCTTCTGAACCCACTCCCACAGCTCATTCCAGGCCTCATCTGAGGGACTCAGCCTCACTGCTGGCTACACAGGGTGCTTGGTGAGGAAAGACTTGGTGAGCCACCCCCGAGAAGCTGCAGACCCAGAGTTCTACACAATGAGCGCCACTCTTCTCAGCCCCCAACAGGGACTCCCTGCGTGGTGTAAACGGCTAACTGGTTCAGCTGCTGACAAAATGGTTGTAGGTTCACCAATCAGCCACTGAAACCCTATGGAACACACATGGGATCTCCAGGAATTGACGGCAATATGTGCTTTGGTTATCTCCAATGGACCAAGAATCGATTGGAAGAAGAGATCAGGCCAATGACCCCAGGAAGGGCGCCCTACCTGGCTACTGCCCCCTCTTCATGCCTTCCCAGATCAATATCAGAAAAGACCAGTGGTTCACGCTGTCTCACAGAGTAGAGCTGGCATTTCAAGGTGACAATCAGGAGGAAGAGGATATACAAATGGACAACCCAAGCGCTCCGTACCATACAATGGCTTCACGCTAACAGTCTGTCTTTCAGGGGCACCCTTGGTTGGGTACATTCAGCCCCACCTCACTGCCCCAAGTTCACAGACCTCACTGTCCTAAACCCCTGGGCATAGTGGGGGATCCAAACCAGGTGAACCAGAGTAGAACTAAATACCTCTTACCGCCTACAGCTTCAGGTAAGTTAAATAGCATCTTTCACAGTATTAACAAACCAACTGAGTCAATTCCTGACAACAGCATGTGTGCCTAGTAGAACTGGACATCATAGGGTTTTAGTGGCTAATTTTTCACAAATCAGTCTCTAGGCCTTTCTACCAAGGCATCTCTGGCTGGAGTCAAACCACCAACCTTTCGGTTAGCAGTCAAGTACATTATCCATTTGTACCTGTACCACCAAGGAGTTTTTGGAAATTTCATAGTTCTGGCAAATAGCAAATGCACGAAGCAGTATGAAACCATGGAGCCTCTTGGGCCATCAAATAGCATTGCTTCATTCCATGTGTCAGCTCTCCATGCTGTAAAATATACACTTGGTTTGGAAAGGGCATTACAAGAAGGAGATTGGAAAAACTAAGCAAAACCTTAATCCTCCTCGAAGGACCAGGCAGTCTGGATATTCTAACAGTCAACCATGTTCTGGAACTTTGTCTAACTACTTGTTTTCAACTGGAAAAGTAGTATCTCTTGATCAGAAACTCATTACTTGATCAGAAACTCATAGAATTCCCAAAGGGCAGTAACTGTTGTTCACTGAAATCTATACATATGAGTCTACCCTTGGGTGGGAATTTAACTACTTAAACAATCAGCTATAAGAGGGGCTGGCATATTGACTGGTTTAGAGTCAAAAGCAAATGAAACCAAGGTTACTGGCCATACCCAGGGTGGTTCAGGTCACCATACTGTGTGTGACCAGAGATAGTAGACACTTGTGCACAAGAACCTGAGGTGACTGCCATTTTATTTTCTTAGGAGCGTTCCAGGAGTTCCCCATGGCTTGTTGGAAATCATTCTGATTCTCATCATTGCTTTTCTCCTAACTGGCTACATCACTTTTTACAGTTCATTTATTGTTGATTCTCATGTCTCCTCACTTGTGAAATGAAGGTACTTTGGCCTGCCTCTCAGGGACAGCGTGAGAACTAAATGGTTAATGATAAGGAAGGAACTCACAAAGCAGAGACAGCTCTGCCATAATTAAACATAATGCCAAAGTAGGAGAACCATTCTTCTGAAGAGATCACTGGAATGAGGCAGAAAATAGCTGGAGAGAGAGAGAGGCAAGTGGCTGCATGTTTTGTACTGGGCATGGACTGCCTTTGGTTCCCTTTCTAATCCCTTCCTTGCCAGGGATGGGAATCAGCTTCCAGAACTGGGTCTAGATGCTTCTGAATCTTTTATTTTCTGTGAAGACTAAGTCCTGATGAAATTATAGCTGGCTTGTCTGTGGGCTCCCTTAGCTCCTGCCTGTTTAGTACAGCCCCGCCTGGCCTTCTCCATCTCCAATTTGTCTCAGAACCCAAAACAAATGCAACAGCAGGAGGGCACAAAGATCTATTCTAGGCTATGCATCTAGTTAGCACTTGACTATGTGTTTCCACTTACATAACAGTACTGGGGTCCTGGTAGAGTGAAGCATCATTGTGGACGCAGGCTCTGCTAGCCACTGAGGCAGGAACTCCCTGTGCCTACACACACTCACATACACACAATTAACAAAGAGAGACAACCTGCACTCTCAGTTATCACAATAAGACGGCCTCTGAAGGTTCCCAGGAAAGGCACTGTCTGTCTTGTTCCTCATTGTCTGAAGCCTGCACAAAAATGTGTCCTCAATCTCTCTTCCCATCCCCGCCCCTCCCCATACTCAAACTGGGGAGAATACGCACTGAAGTCTGTCACCAGAACCCAACTAGAGCATGCTGGCTTCTGAGACCAGTAAAAGGCAGACTCTGGTAGAACACCCCACAGCCCTCCTCCCATCTGGAAATCTCAATGGGGAGCTGAGATTTTTACCTGAAGCTTATCAAATGCATCCGAACCTCATGTGCTCAAAACAAGCTTTTGGGTGTGGGGAGACATAGGGAATGGAGAGTGCCAGCGAGGGAGAGCTTGCTTGGGTTTACCTCGCAGTGTTGGGGCAGAGCTAATGTCTCAGGAAGAAACCCATGGTTTCCCAGAGAAAGACTATCAGCCTGTTCACAGCTGACTTCCCTCTGAGGTTGTCAAGCCTTCTGTCCTGTCCACTTTGTGTCACACACACAGGGCATCGGTGCTAACCCCAATGAGAAGCAACAGTGTATGTTACAGAGCCGGGTGAGATAGCACACAAGAAGACAATTCAAATGGTGTGCAATAGAAAAGACCAGGTTAGCTTTCAGGATCTTGGGTCTGAAAATAAAAAAAGCTTAGCATAAGCAAAGATCCCTTCTGCAGTCAGTGATTCTATTACACAGCTGAAAATGCTGCTCGTTTCATCATCTGCAAAAAAGAACCAACCACCGTCATTTCATAGGCGATGGGAGATCCATTCTCCACGCCAGTTCTCACAGCCTCAGCCATCTCAGGCCAGGTGCCATGGTTAGAGAGCGAGCTCATTAGGCCCTGTCAGAAGGACTAGGCACACCCTCACCCATCCCCTGGACATCTGAAGGTCACCTCCAAGGACTGTTCAGTAGAAATTGAATATGCTAACACATACCTTTCCCACACTTTCACCCCATCAAATTTCCAGCCAGTCCCCAACACAGTTTTCCTCTGCATTTCCTTTCAAGTATTCCCCCAAATACTACAAATACTAGCTGGATAGAAACTAAAGTAAATTGTCATAGAGTCCACTTAGGCTCATGGCAATGCATGTGGGTCAGAGTAGAACTGTGCTCTGTGGGGTTTTCCATGACTGAGTTTTAGGAAGAAGATCTCCATGTCTCTCTTCAAGGTGCCTCAGGGTGGTGAAAGCTTCCAGCATTTCAGTTAGCAGCTGAGCATATTAACCATTTGCACCACCACAGAGACTGTTGAGAAATTGTTATTGTTGGTGTTGTTATGTGCCGTGGAGTCGGTTCCGACTCATAGCGACCCTGTATAGGGTTTCCAAGGCTGTAAATCTTTACAGGAGCAGAAAGCCTCATTTTTCTCCTGCGGAGCAGCTGGTAGTTTCGAACTGCTGACCTTTAAGTTCCCAGCCCAATTCATAACCACTACGCATTGAGAAATTAAGGATACTTTAAAAAAAGAATCAAGAAGCATTTCCTAGCCCCTTCTCACAGCATGTTAATATAAACAGAATTGGTATTCTTTAAGCCCTGTGTCTATCCCGTTTCTATACACAGTGGGCGGCGGTGGTGTGCTGTAGAGTCGGTTCCCATGCATAGCGACCCTGTACTGGGTTTCAGAGGATATAAATCTTTACGGGAGCAGAAAGCCTCATCTTTCTCTCCTGGAATGGCTGGTTGCTTCAAACTGCTTACCTGAGGTTAGCAACCCTATTCGTAACCACTACACTACCAGAGCTCCTTTTCTATACACGGGAGGCCTTATCAGTTAAAAGCTTGGTGGCTCTCCTCACCTGTATTCAGCAACTCCTCCTGCGTGTTTCTTCATTGCCGTGTCGGAGCTCATCCCATAGAAGAGCTTGAGTTTCTGGCCGTTCCTCTCAATCACTTCTCCAGCACACTCAGTATGGCCAGAAAACATCCCTCCCAGCATGACAAAATCTGCTCCAGCACCTACACTCCAACAGTGGGGGAAAAAGGAAGTGGAGGCCCAAGGAAATCAGTTCTGGAAAGAGCAGAGTGCTTTCCAAACTCACCTTCCCCCGTCTATGGTCAAGAGAAAGGCTCAACCTCTTCCCATCTGGAAAATAAGTGTCAAGGTCACCCATACCTTGAGTGCTCCCAGAAGAGCAAATGGAGTTTGCTAAGGGTTGGTGACTAATACAGTTATGGCAACCTTACCCGTGTAGGGTCAGAGTAGAACTGTGCTTTATAGGGTTTGCAATGGCTGACTTTTGGGAAGTCTTTCTCTGAGGCACGTCTGGGTAGACTTGAAACGCCAACCTTTTGGTTCTCAGGCAAGCTCATTAACCATTTGTATCACCCAGGGACTCTGGCTAATATATTAATCTTTAATGATTGCTGTTTTCGTCAAATGCCATCAAGTTGGTTCCCACTCATAGTGACCCTGTATAAGGGTTTCCGAAGAGCAGCTGGTGGTTTTGAACCTACAGCTCCATAACAGGACCACAGGGAGTATGGTGACGCTGTAAGATAAGCACTGGACTGCAAACCACAAGGTCAGCGGTTCAAGCCCACCAGCCACTCCATGAAAAAAAGATGAAGCTTTCTGCTCCCACAAATATTTATAACCTTGGAAATTTTCTACAGGCTTGCTATGAGTCAGAACCGATGGGACAGCACCTATGACCGCCTTTCCGAATAGAGATCTAACTCTTTTAGGATCAGAGAAACATTAAGAATTGGGCAGCATCTGAAAAAGCAAGCAATTCCCTACCCAGTGCAGTGACTCCTCTCCAATCTGCCATACCAGACATCTAGTCTCTACATTAAGCTGCCAGCTCTCCTAACTCTTTACTCACATAGATCAAGGAAGGGCCTTGGAACAGACCAAACCTTGCACACACTAGAGGCTGAGTATGGAGGATTGAAGATCCTGTATTATATAAGCTGTTCAAACTCTGTCTGTACCTCAACTGTGATGGATATTAGACTTCTGGGTAAAACATACTCAACACTAACCACTGAGTAACATGAGATTCCCAGGTCAAGTACAAAGAAGACTGGGATACTGGCATTGCCTTTGTAGGCAAGATTGGAACAGGCCTAGGGCCTTTTCATGGGACGTGGTATGTGGCAGGTACAGAACACCTAGTTGTCAAGAAAATAAAAGGTGACAATGGAAAAAATAAAAATGGGCTGCTTCTCTTCCTGTTCACAGACAGTTGTGCAGAGACACTCTACATCACATGTTCAATCTCTATTATACATGATATGGTGCTGTAGGGTAAGTAACAGACTGGTAACCTCAAGGTTAGCAGTTCAAACCCATCAGCTGCTCTCAGAAACCCTATACAGGGTCTCTGTGAGTCAGAACTGACTCAACAGCACACAGCAACAATTACATACAATACAGGCATTCCCCAAAGATACTGCATTTTCCAGACCACCACAATAAAGTGAGTATCCCAGTAAAGAGAGCTGCACGCATAGTTCCATTTCGCAGTGCACATAAAGCTCAGGTTTATACCACACTGTGGTCTATTAAGTGTGTAGTAGCGTTACAAAAAGGGTTCAAGTGTTGCAAGAATGACCAAAACGTGACACAGAGACTCGAAGTGAGCACATGCTTTTGGAAGAATAGCACCAATAGACTTGCTCAGTGCACAAAAGGCTGCCACATAACCTCAGTTTGTAAAAGCACAGTATCTGCAAAGTACAAAAAAGTGAGGTATATCTCTATTACATCTACCATTCCTCCTCCAGGAGTCTTGGCATGGCGCTGTGGGTTAATGCGTTAGGGTGCTAAGTTGGTTTGAAACGTAAGGTCGGCAGTTCAAGTTCATCTGCCACTCCTCAGAAACCCTATACAGGGTCGCTATGGGTTGGAACTGACTTGACGGCATACAATAACAATCTCTCATCCTAATGATAAGTCCTCCTGAGAGTTTATGTTTAGAACAGAACATGACACCAGGGCACAGATGTATCAGGGCATAGAGCAACAGTGATGTAGAGGAAGGAGGGAAGGAACCTATCAAAACCCTGAAAGGAGAGAAAACACAGCCATTCCTGAAAAGTGGTGATTCAAACATCTACCAGAAGGCTTTGGGGATTTGCACCAGGCCTTTAGCATTACTACAAGGAACACTGCAGGGATTGTGGCTGGCCTGGTCTTCAGGTGGGCAAGCACAAGTGGGTATTTCTATTCAAAAGGAAGCTTTGCAGACCCTCCCTTTTAGGGTTCCTAACTTGAATGCTGGCTCCCTAGCCCAAATGCCATGAATTTAAGGGGACAGAGGGGAACTGGTGTCCACCAGGCTCAGGAACAGAACACATGTGCTGCAGAGCAGATTCAGTAGATAAGCAGGAACACAGAGCACAAATCCATTTAAAGAATGCTTTGAAGTAGTTTCCAGTTTCTTCTGTTTCTGAGTCCCTTCCTAGCCTTCAGAAATCAGTGTTTTCTCTGGCCCTGTCTCTCTACAGTCTAAGCCTCCAGCACTGCACTTAATGGGAGGAGTGCAGTGAAGGGTGAGAAGAATCTGAGCGGAGCCTCGGGTTTGTGCCAGAGTCTGACAGCCAGAACCACGCCCAGATCATTTCTCTGTGAGGCACTTCCCTAATGACCACTCACATTAAAGACTGGTGGGCACCCACTCTGGGCAGAAAGCAACACCCATCAGTAAATAAGGAGATTCAGTTCACAAATCAAGGGTAAAATGCCCTTGGCTGATAGCCCTGTAATAGAAGTGAGTGAGTTGAAGGAATCCTGAATTCTCGTGTTCTGTCTGAATGTGACTCAGGCCTTGTCCCTCACCTCCCTGGGCCTCAGTCACCTCAACTATAAAATAGGCAAGCTGGATCAGGCAGATGAGCTACATGTTCCTTTCCACAGCTAAGATCTATGATTATTGTTGTTGTTAAATGCTGTTGAGTCATTTCTGACTCAGAGTGACCTATATAGGGTTTCTGAGGAGCAGCTGGTGAGCTTGAACCACTGACTCTGTGGTTCAAACCAACCTTGCAGGCCAGCACATTAACCCATATAGAAGTTGACCATTCTAATGATATTCTCTAGGGATGCTATGAAACCTGGCTGCAAAAACCTCTGTCCCATGGAGTCTTGGGAGGGGGGGCACTTTTAGAGTTTAAAAAAAATTAGAATGGTGTGGCTCTGTAGGATAAGCGCTAGACTGCTAACTGCAAGGTCGGCAGTTCAAACTCACCAGCTGCTCCTTGGAAATCCTATACAGGGTTGCTATGAGTTGGAACCGACTCGATGGCACTTAACAACAAGAAAGAAAGGAAGAGTGGAAGAGAGAGAAGAAGAAAGATGAGACGGAAGAAATGACAGCAAACTTGGCCCTAGAACCAGGAAAGGTGGGTGAGGGCCTATCAGTTTCGTCTGTCCCCCGCCGTCATCCCTCCCTCATAGCCCCCTCTCATTTAACAGTTTGGAGCCTCCCATAGTGCTGCGAACTCTAACATGGCTGCTATAGAATTTGGTAGCTATATGTTACTGCATGTTACTTGAGATTCTGGATTTGCAGGTGCTTTTCCGAGGAAACCCCAGGAAACCTGGCTGGGGCCTCTCCAGAAGCTAGCATCCCTGAAACACAAAGTCGCCAGACACTGCTGCCCCCTAGTGGGAAACAGGAGAGAGACAGCTGGGACTCCAGGCTCTCGTGAAGGATTTCCCGAGTGGAGTTCTAAAGGCCATGGAGTCGTTTCCCGACTCCTAGCAACCCTATGCACAACAGAAGGAAACACCACCCAGTCCAGCCACATCCTCACAATTTAGTACCAATCACACCTGGCACTGTCCTTGTGAAAGGTTCCCTGAGCCTTCCGCTCCCGGCATGCAGGATGTCATTTCTAAACATCTCATGGGCGCTCTGCTACTCTGCCACTGGCCAGAACCAAACCCATGCCAGGATTCCAGGCAATTAGGGCTGAAATCACCGCAGCAGAAACCCAGGGAGAGGGTAACTGACCACCCTAGAAAGGCGTTGTGAATTCCCGCCCCTTGTCCCGGCTCCCGCTTTCAGGTCCGCCAGCCTGCAGCCTGAACCTGCATCCGGGTGCAGGCAGTGAGCCTCGCTCCCAGCAGGGGCCTTACCAAAGGCTTTGGCGACATCTCCCGGACACGTGCAGCCTCCATCCTTCAAACAGAAAAAAGCAAGGAAAGGAAAGGAAGTCAGTGGGAGTTCATCAATGAATGTATCACCTTCCTGCCTCCTTCCACCAGCCCCATTCTGATGACTGAGAATTTGTACACTCCAGGGGAGTTGGTCCTTTTAGATCCATACCTAACATTGCCGAGTTACTGCTGTTTCAAGACCCAGGCTATTCCCCGTAGTTCTGCCTTGTCCATTCCTCAAGCCCTGCCATACATAGAGGTGGCCAAGTGACTCTCCGGGGTTCACTCTGGCAGACACTTTTTACTTGGGGTCACCTGCTCTGTAAGACTGGCAAAGCCCACTGTCTTCCAGGAGCTCTGAGCTCATCCTCCACCAGTCCCATAATCCCTCCCAGTCGTGCCATCCACACATCTGCATCCACGATCCACACGAGACAAGCAGAGGGCACATTTTCCTGCTGCATCTTCACCTTCCCTTACCTGCCTGGTGTGAAGTGAGGCTGATTTGGTACAAGAGGTGTTTTAAGAGCCTTGAAAAAGGCATAGAATTAATTCCTTTTATCTATCTTACTGATAGGTACTAAGGTACTCATTTACCTTAATAAGTTGCCCAGCTGGTGCAATGGGTTAAGCATTGGGCTGCAAACTGCAGGGTCAGTGGTTCAAGCCCACCAGTTGCTTTGTAGAAGAATGATAAGGCTGTCTGCTCCCATAAAGATCTTCAGTCTCAGAAACTCTTGGGAGCAGATCTATGCTGTTCTATAGGGTTGCTATGAGTTGGGTAGCGGGTATTTACCTTAACCATCAAACATTCACTCTCTGTATTCAGACACATCTTGGGAATGACTTAACAGTTAGCGGAGGACTCTTATCACACTGTCCAGCAACATCAGGATACGCAACTATGTTTAAACACCCATAATGCAAATACATGGTTTCTGGGATGCCTGGTCACTGAGTCTCCTTAAAAACATATTGGTTGTCTACACATCGATTCCAACTCTGAGCGACCCTATAAGACAGGGTCGAACTTCCCCCTAGGTTTCCAAGACTGGACTCTTTATGGAAGTGAACTGGCAGATCTTTCTCCCAGTGAAGAGCCACACACTTAACCACTAGATCCCAGGGCTCCCTTTACAAATGTAAACCGAAACCAAACCAAATCCACTGCTAACTCATTACAACCCAAGAGGACAGGGGGAAACTGGTCCCTAGGGTTTCCAAGGTGGGAGATCTTTACCAACACAGACTGTCTAGTCCTTTTCCTGTGGTGGTTTCAGATCGCTGATCTTTTGGTTAGCAGCTGAATGCTTAAGCACTGTACCACCAGGCCTCCCTTTCAAACACAAGAGGTACAAAATGACCAGGCAGCTACCTGGCATTCCCAGTTTGGCATGTGTGAAGTCCAAGAAGGCAGTGGAATCAGTAGGGACCACGTCACCCAGAGCAGTAACTTCAAAGGCTCACACTTCACCCCTGCCTGCGTCTACTGGACCATACAGAATCCTTAGTAATGTTTATTATAAATGTTAATCATAGAATAATATGTGGTAAATACAGTTGTGAATTCTTAAATGTAATAGTTCTTAGATCATATGAATACTAAAATCACAACTGCTTTGTAAAATCTATCTACATTGAATTACATTATTAGTTACATTGTTAGTATCTGAGCGGGAAGCCTTTTTCTAGTTTTCTCCTTCTTTTCCTTTAATTACTACTTCATTCTCAAAAGAGTTATTGATAAAGATTCACAAATGCTGCTTACCACAATACTGTAGCTAAACACCAGAGAACTTGGCAAAATCAGTGACTCTAAAGACACCAGCAACAAAGAAAACAACAGTGTGTGCGTGTAGGCATGATTCAAATCATCACTGTGGTGGTGGTGGTGGTGATGTGCCAGCGAGTAGGTTCTGACTCATAGCGACCCTGCAAAGGGTTTCCAAAGCTGTAAATCTTTAAAGGAGCAGAAAGCCTCATCTTTCTCCCGCAAAGCAGCTGGTAATTTCGAACTGCTGACCTTGAGATTAGCAGCCCGACTTGTAAACACTATGCTACCAGAGCTCACTGTAATTGGGTAATAATGACAGCTTTGACCAAAGCATGTTTTTGTTGTTAAGTACCGTCGAGTCAATTCCAACCCATAGCGACCCTGTATAGGGTTTCTGAGCAGCAGCTGGTGAGCTTGAACCGCCGGCTTTGCTGTTCAAACAGCTTTGCAGTCTGATGCATTAACCCACAGTGCCACACCTGGCATAAAGTTTGAGCCTTGTGGATTTATTGGTATTATGTAAACAGGGTCAATACATTTTTAGCTGAAACACTCTACAAAAACTTGATAGACAGTCTTTCTGGTGGCACGCCCTCTGATGGTGTTGCCTGGTGTACCCACCTCCTGGTGACACCACTGGGTAAGGGCAGGAAGGGGACAGTGGAGCAGCTGCCAGACATGACGGGAAGAGTCAGGGAAGGAAAGATGCAGAGGAGATGTGTCTACTGTGATAACAGCTCAGAGTGGATGTGGCTCTAAAAGTATCACCAGGACTGGGTGGGGCACCAGGGCCTTGGAGGGACGGAATCACCTATCCCCAGAAGGTACTGGAATGCATTGTGTTGCTGTTGTTGCTGCTGCTGTTGTCAGCTGCCACTGAGGCAGCACTCGACTCTTGACAACACCATACACAACACAACAGAACACTACCCGGTCCTACACTATCTCAGGATAATCTGCGGAAACCACTGTAACCCATAGGGTTTCCATTGGCTGCTTTTTGAAAACATATCTTCAGGCCTTTCCTTCCTAGTTTGTCTTGTTCTGGGAGCGCCCCCCCCCACACACACACAACCTGCTCAGCAAGACACAAACCTCCACTGACAGGTGGGTGGTGGCTGGGCATGAGGTATAGTGGCAGGAAATCAAACTCAAGTCTCCCCCATGGAAGGGGAGAATGAATTATTTTAGATCTTTCTTCCTATCTGTGTCAATGTGCATTGCACACTACATTAAATCACTAAAGTTACAGGAAGTTTGCTAATTAACCTTTACTACTTTGCAGGGGTCAGTGAACAGTGCCCAGCTGTAGAGAAGACAGAGGGGGGGGGACTTCTGTAGACCAGCTTGGTCCTCTGTCATTAACAACCTCTTCACAATTCAGTGCTTCCTACAAGCTGGATAAAGCATGCTTTCTGGCTCTTTATAAAATCCCCTGATCAAAATGTTGAACTTGAGTGAAGAAAAGATACCAGTGATTTGAATAAACCTAGCGTAGTGGTTACGAATCGGGCTGCGAACCTTAAGGTCAGCAGTTCGAAACTACCAGCCGCTCCGCGGGAGAAAGATGAGGCTTTCTACTCCCGTAAGGATTTACACCCTCGGAAACCCTGTACAGGGTCGCTCTGGGTCGGACCCGACTCGACGGCACTTAACAACAACAACAACAACATTCATAGATACGGCATGTTGAGGTCTTGTGAGGTGCGACAAGAGTCCAAGTTATTTTTGGTTATCAGTGGACAGTGAACTCATTTGATTGTTCAAGTCCCTCCCCTGCGAATTTATGTTCAAGTACTGACTCTTGGCTGGACACTCTCTGGAAGACATGTTCCAAAGAGTGAGGCAGGGAGTGATAAAGACTTATTAGGCTGCAGTGGGGGTGACTGAGGTGGCAGTAGGCCCTTGGCAACTGTCAGCAAGCTCTTCACCTTCTTCAAGCCTCCTCACTGTCTACATCAGCAGGTCATGGAAAGGAGTGGCCCACTGGTAATGAATAGATGTCAGTCTGAATGCCGTCTTTGCCCCTCACTAGCAGTGGGATGCTGAGCAAGTGACTTACCAGGGGGCTTCAAAATGTTTGTGGAAAAATGTCCAGTATCTCTTCATTCCATTTTTCCATCCACTTTTTGAAGCCCCCTTATAAATTCTCTAAGCTTTTGTTTCCTTACCTCTTAGGTGTGGATAACAGCTACCTTGTCTGGTGGTTGCAAGGATTAGAGATTCTATGTGTAGTCTGACTGGCAGAGAATAGGCAGAAAGTGGCTGTTTAGGTAGCACACAAAGTTTGTGCTTGTCAACTAACCGAAAAGTTGGTGATGGTTCAAACCCACCCCATGGTACTGCAGAAGAAAAGGGCTGGCAATCTGCTTCCATTAAGGGTAAACAAACCAACAAATCCACTGTCATCAAACTGGCTCTGACTCATAGGCTTTCTGAAACTGTAAATCTTCATGGGAACAGACAGTCTCATCTTCCTCCCAAGAAGTGGCTGGTGGGTTTGAACCACTGACCTTGTAATTGGCAGTCTAACATCTAACCCAAAGCACTAGCAGGAGTCCTTTCAGCACAGAAAACCTTAATGAGCAGTTCTACCCTGAGTCTTGGTGTGGTTCTCTGGGATAATCCACTGGAATGCAAGGTGGGTTTGAACCGCAAGGTCGGTCCTTCAAACCCACCAGCCTCTCCTCGGAAACCCTATCTAGGTGCTCGCTATGAGTTGGAACCAATTCGATAGCAACTTAACAACAACCCTGTAACACAAAAGGTTGTCATGAGCTTGAATTGGCTCAACGGCAACTAACAATGACAGGCACTCAGTAAATGAGTCATTATTTTCTCTAAAGCGGTTGCCACCTTCAAAATTCTCTCTTTTGTGTTATATCTCCAGCAGATGACAAACCAAAAAAAAATGAACGGATCACACCTTCATCTTCACATATGCCAGGGGGGCGTCCTGAATTTTTCGGCTGCCTGCCTCCCTGAGGCACATGTGAACCACAATAAATAGAAATAAGATTCAGGCTCTTGGGAATCATCACCTGCTGAACAGATTCCCGGCTGTAGCTTCCTTCTGAACTGCAACTACACAGATATGCTAATTCAGCAACTAGAGTGTAAAAGAAGACAGCTGGAAATTGGACGATGTGGACCCCAAACGTCTGATGTGTTTCCAAGACGAGAACCTTGGCAAGTGGACTCATCAAATCCCACTAGACAAAGGGCAATGAATGGTTGCTTTGAACCCCAAGACGCTCAACCGGTTAGAAGGAATGAGCTAAGATCAAGGGGTCCAAATCCTATCTATGCCATGAACCTCACTTGATCTTTTGACTGTATAAAATGAACTCCTGATCCACTACAGAATCCTGGTGTGGTGCTGTAAGATCAGCACTAGACTGCTAACCACAAGGTTGACGGTTCAGACCCACCAGCTGCTCCTTAGAAACCTTCTGCAGGGCGAAGCTTGTGAGTGGGAATCCACTTGAGGGCACTTAACAGCAACCACCCCATATAGAGGCACTAGTGACTCCATGGTAGAAGTCTACCTTCCCATTCAGAAGGCCAGGCCAATGCAGCTGACGTACAGCCAGCACCTTTCTGTTAGTGGAGACCTGGGAGTTGCTATGATAATGAACACGTTTCAGTGGAGCTTCCAGACCCACAGAAAAGGGGAAAAGCCATGCAATCTACTTCTGAATCAGCCGATGACAACATCGTGGATTACAGTGGGCTGATCAGGAACAGATCCTGGGGATGGCACAGGATTGGGCAGAGTTTCATTCTGGTATACATGGGGTCCCCATGAGTTGGGTCTAACTCAACACCAGCTAACAACAACAAGAATAATCCATCTGGTTAATTACTGTCTCACCAGGAGTGTAAACACAAGAATTTTGGAGCATACAGGTAGGGCCAGAAGTCCTACCTTTGGAGCATCCACATCACAAGCTGGTCTGTCACTGTCCCTAAAGGCAATAGCAGATGAGTCCTAGCTCTGGAATATTGACCTAGCCAGGGTATACGGAGCCTCCTCTATGACACTCAAAGTTTCTTGAACTTACAAACACGTCAGAAATATCTAAGGGTTTGTTAGATCCGAGGGCCTTACCTACAGAATAAATAATTTAGTAGATTTGGAGTGGGGCAGAGATTGCACTCCTAACAACTCCTCAATTGATGCTGATGTTGCTAGTCCAGGCACCACATTTATAAGACTACTAGAATAAGCAACAAATTAGTGGCGGCCAATCATGGATTCATCTGTGTGCCCAGTTTCAGACCCTAGAAACTGAGCAAGCCTGACATCTCTAGAAACATATAAATATGGTGTCTCAAGAAAAAATTCACAGTAAAACTTAACCAATTTGACTCCCATTAACTCCTGGTGTGGCATTGATTGCACATACTGAACACGTGATCTAAAACTCGGTCATTTAACACTCTACCTTTGGAAACTATAGTGATATTGTGAAAGAATCCCAAGATGCCCACTTCCTCCAGCCTGTAACACTCTCTCCAGGTCCCTTCTACTTGGTGCTCAGTATAAGGGACTTCTCTTGTCGTAAAGTCGGGGTTCCTTGGGATCAATCTGAGGCCAGCATCATGCCTCACCCTTATATTCTCCCTAGACTCTCTCAACTATACTCAAGGCTGCAGTAAGTCTCAGAAATCTACAGAGATGATTGACTCTCCAGTTTCCAACCTAAGAATGCCAGTACCTAATGGAATTCCTGTTAGATGCCCCCCAAAAAAACCAGTTGCTGTGGAGTTGGCTCTGACTTACAGAGACCCCCCGTGTGTCAGAGTAGAACTGTGTCCCATGGGGTTTTCAGTGTTTGACTTCTCAGAAGTATATCACCAGGCTTTTCTTTAGAGGCACCTCTGGGCGGCCTAAACCGGCTCACCTGTGTACTACCCAGGGATTCTAGAAGCCTCTTCAAAACCCACTGTCTTCTAGTCTATTGTTATTCATGGTGACTCAATAGAAACCCTACCATTTCCAAGGCTGCAAATCTTTACAGAAGCAGATTATTACATTTTTTTCTCCTGTAGAGTGGCTGACTGCTTTAATGACTGTGCAACTAAGGTTCCTCCAGATGTCCTTCAGGCACCTCTCAATCAACAAGGCCAAAACAACAAGGAGCTCCACACGGTCCCCCTCAAAACTTCTTCCTTTGCTGCTGCTGCTGCTCCAGTTTTCAGTGAGTGGGCAGGTAGGTAGCAGCATCCTTAGTTTCCCCTTCTCCCTGGCCACCCCTGCATAAACACCTCATCAATGGTCGAGTCCTGTTGAAATGTTTATCAGTTCTGTGTGGCTCTCTAGCCCCACCACCACCTCCTGCCTGAATTACTAACAAGTCCCCACCTAGACCTCTTCTGCCCTTCTTGCTCTTTGCCAATGCTCCACAGGCAGCCTGTTTAATGGCTCCAACATCCACTTGTCACTCTCCTGCTTAGGTATCTTCAGTGCTCAGTGTTTGTAAGATAAAGTCCTAGCCACAATGTGGCTTACAAGCCTCCCAGGTTCTTGCCCACCTATTCCCTGTAGCCGACTCCCTGCCACCCCTCACTCCTAGCCCTCTTCTGGCTCAGTAGCCCCCGCCACCGTGAAATCCAGTTTTTTAAAAAAGAATCATTTTCTTTTGCTTCTGAAATACTTTTTCCTTCGCTTCGTCCCCTTAGCCTGGCAAATTCCTTTAAAATCATCAGGCCTCCGTCTTCCTTACTCTAGGAAACCTTTCCTGACTCCTTCAAATCTGGGATCTATTGCTCTCCTCCTTCTTTCAAAACTCTTTGGGAGGAGGGGCTTGATGGCGGCTAGGGTGGAGGTGCAGTGAAGTTCGCCATCTGCAAGAACACAGAATACCAGGCAAAGCAGACCCAGGGCAGAGCTCCAAAACTCAGAACCACAGAGATAGGACTATTTTGAAGGTTTGAAGGCTTATAGCTTGTGGAACTTGAAGCTGAAGTAAAAAAATCGCGTACTTTTGACTCTGCTGGGCTGGCCTTGGAGGCCCGGAGCCAACATATTGGGCGATACCAAACGCAAGACCAAGTGGGGGAGCAGAAACACCATGGAAAATCGCCGCGGGAACCTTGGAGCAAAGGTAGATGATACACTTTGTCAGTTTTGCTTTGTTCTGATTTTCTTTTCTTTTTTTCTTGGTATCTGGTCATTGGCATGCCCACTGTTTGCCCACCTCCATTCTGGTGACTAGAGGAGGAGCCTGAGCGAGTTGACACCCCCTACCCTCACACTGGTGGGCAGCCAGGCAAGCACACAGATACTCAGCCCAAGAGCAGGCCCTGAAGGTTTTTTGCTTGTTTGTCTTTTAATACGGGAAAGGGCAGGACAGGGCTGTAGAGAGGGATAGTTTAAAAACAAAACAGGCTGAAAATTAAAGCCTGAGGTATAGCATAACAACCAACACTCCTGGCATCCTGAAATCTCTCAGGCAGCTTTGAAAGCAAGAAGCTGAAGAGAGGACATTAAAGTCACACTCATATTGTTGTTGTTGTTGTTGTCAGGTGCCATCGAGTCAGAACCAACTCATAGCAACCCCATGCACAGCAGAATGAAACAATGTCCGATCCTGGGCCAACCTCACTACTGCTGCCACACTTGACGCCATCAATGGTGCCACCTGGCTGATCCATCTCGTTGGGGGTCTTCCTCTTTTTTCTGACCCTCCATCTTATCCAGCATGACATCCTTCTCCAGTGACTGTTTCCTCCTGACAATATATCCAAAGTAGGAGAGACAAAGTTTAGCCATTTTGGCCTCCAAGGAGCACTCTGGCTGCACTTCTTCCAAAACAGATCTATTGGTTCTTTTGGCAGCCCATGACACTTTTAGTATTCTCCTCCAACACCACAACTCAAAGGCATCAATTCTTCTATAATCTTCCTTATTCACTGTCCAGCTTTTGCATCCATATGAGGGATTATTATATTAGGTTACAGATTTTTTTTTTTTTTTTGTCTCTCCCTCCTCTCCTTTTTCTGTGATTATAGACTGCAGTATTCAGTCTAGTTTTTGTTGTTAATTTTTTTTTTTTTTATGTTAGTTTTTTTTTCTTGTCTTTTTTTTTGCTGGTGCTGTTTTGCTGTTATATGACACCCCCACCCCCTTCTGCCTTTGGATGACTCTTTGTCTCCATATATTACACAAGAAGAGTCAGTAACTGCTGTCATATAGCCAAACTACATTCATACTCTATGAAACATCAAAGCTCTTTGTACATTCTCTCATTGGGCGACCTTAAGCCTTGGCTACTGAGTCAATTCCAACTCATAGTGAGTGACCTTGTAGGACAGGACAGAACTGATCCACAGGGTTCCTGTAAATCTTTACGGAGGCAGACAGCCTCATCTTTCTTCCATGGAGCATCTGGTGGATTTGAACCAATGACCTACACTTAACCCACTGCACTACTAGAGCTCCTTTATACTACCTACCAACTCCTATTGTCCTGCTGAACATGCCTGTTTCCCTCACTACAGAGTAAGTGGAGAGCAGGAACTGTGTCTGCTGTGAACCCAGTGTCCACATACTCCTAAGCCCATGGAATGATAATCGGGTGAACGGCAGCAGGGAGCAGGGTCCCTACAGTGTGAGATGCTCCCCAGCCCCAGCCCAGCCCTGCCCACAGACTCACGGAGATGATGTGGCCCTTCAGGCCATGGGCAGAGTCAGCACACTCGATCACTGCACTCAGCTGGGGGTAACCTACACCCGTCTTGGTGCGGGTGGTGCACACAGAACCTGGCATGGAGAAAAGTAGACCCCAAAGAGAGATGGTTGTGAATGTACAGAACGTGGAATAAAATGAACCCCAGTCACGGTCCCACAGTCCTGCCCCAGCTCCCTAGGGCTGAACTTCTCAGGGCGAATGAAATAAGCTTGTTCAGTAGGCCAGGCAACCACAATTTAGTCTAAGGAACCTCTCAAAATGCTGCCTCCATCCACCGAGTCTTTCCCTGCAACGTCTCTCAAATCATTTAGCCTCTCTAAGCCTTATTTTCTTATCTGTGAAACGAGATAGAGGACATACGTTGTTGTTGTTGTTAAGTGCCATCAAGTCAGTTCCAACTCATAGTGACTCTGTATGGGGTTTCTGAGGAGTAGCTGATGGGTTTGAACCACTGACTTGCAGTTCAAACCCATTTTTGGTCTAGTACACTATCCTGCAGCATCATACCAGGACTCCAGCATATATCTATCTATCTATCTATCTATCTATATATCAATCTATCATCTGTTTATTTATTTTCTGTCTCTAGTACTTTGGGCATGCTAAAAGTACTCATGCTAAAGTGGAGGGTCAGCTAAAAAGAGGGAGACCCCAATGAGGTGGATTGGCACAGTGGCAGCAGCAATGGGCTCAAGAGTAACAACGGAGGATGGTGCAGGACCGGACAGTGTTTGGTTGTGTTGTGCGTAGCGCTGCAATGAGTCAAAGCCACTCGATGGTACCTAACAACAACATATGTATTTTGGGCATAATAAAACAATAGAATAAATACTGCTTGCCTCTTCAGCCATCTGCTCCCTCCTCTCCCTGCCTGTGCACTGACCTTTCTTTTCTCCGACAGAACAAGTGTCTTCCCACCGCAGGGATTCTCTGTACACGATGTTCCTTCTTCAGTCTGGACCAACCCCCACTTGTCTAGCCAACCCTTTCTCATCGTTCATCATTTGAAATGTCACAACCTCGGGGAAGCTTTTATTTCTAGCACCTATTTTAAAAGGAAGTATTTAAATAATTATGTGTTTGAGTATGCTTAGGGTCTGCTTTCTCTGCTGGATGGTAAGCTCATAGAGAGCTAAGATCATGGGTATTTGTTGCTGTATATCGAGGTTTACAATAGAGTCTGGTGCTTAATACCCCAAAGCAAACACAGCTCACTGCCATCAAGTCGATGCAACTCACACTGGCCCTGTTTAAAGTTTTTGAGACTGTAAATCTTTATGGGAGCAGAGAGTCTCATCTTTTTCCTGGGGAGTGGCTGTTGAGTTTGAACTCCTGATCTTGCGGTTAGCAGCCAATGCCTATCCATAGTGCCACCAGAACTCATTGTGCTTAACAAGGGCATGCTTAAATCATCACTGAAAAAATGAATGAGCCATCCACGTAGCTGTGTCTACTGCTTCGGTACTCATTCGGACCCTTCCATTTAGCTGGTGGTGGTGCATATGTGCCGTGGAGCCAGTTCCGACTCATAGCGACCCTGTACAGGGTTTCTGAGGCTGTAAATCTTTACAGGAACAGAAAGCTTCATCTTTCTCCCACGGAACAGCTGGTAGTTTCGAACTGCTGTCCCTGAGGTTCGCAGCCCAATTCATAACCACAACGCTACCAGAGCTCCTTATCTAGTTGGTAGTGTGGATTATGGGTGCCCTGTGACTCTGATAGGAGTCCCTGGGTGGTGCAAACGATTAAACTCTCCATTACTAATTGAAAACCTGGCAGTTCAAATCCATTCAGAGGTGCTTCAGAAGAAAGGTCTGGCAACCTGCTTCCTAAACGTCACAGCCTTGAAAACCCTAGAGAACCTGGGTCGATTAGCACATATGGGGTTGCCATGAGCTGGAATCAACTTGATGGCAGCTGGCTTGATTTTTTGGAATCCCAGTGTGAAAGTTGGATGTGACCATCTCCCCTGCCTATGACAGAGGGGAAGCACTCCTAACCCTTGCCTCTACTCTTGCTTCTAGCCACCACCAGAGGCACAAAGCAGCCACATATTTCTGCCATGGGTCATAAGGGATGGCCTCAGACAGAGGATCATGTCTATACATCAGCACAGAAACCAGCAAAAGGACAAAGTCAACCTGTGTGTCCAGCTCTGGGGTCCAGACTCCACCTGTTTAGGTTCTGGTTGCTCTCTATGTCCATCCTCACGCCATCCCTCCAGGGCTCAATGACATTCCTGGAGATAACCTTGTCTCCTCACCAAAGCACCCTTGGCCCCAGTGACCAAGCTGCAGGGGGAAATAGAACTACAGCTTCATAACCTCTAGCACAGACCTAGGAAGGGATGCAGGGATCTCAATTGGAGCCAACTACGGCTGCACAAGGAGAGGCACTTACAAAGGCTACATCTGTTTCTGTCTTGGAAACAGAAAAGGAGCTCATTTCTAATACGGCATGGCGGTGATCCCAATCCAACCCAAACTGAAAAAACAAATTTTGTACATATTTTATCCCAGTTAGAGGGGCAAGGGTACCCATTTTTAATACTTCATCTTAGTTTCTGGGAGCGGATCAAGAATGAATCCCTCTTTTACTGTGGCAAAGCATATAACAAAAACATTTTAGCCACTTTTTTTGGTATATTTCTTCATATTGTGTAATCATTCTCTTTGTGTTCTTCTCTTTCTCATTTTATAATTTTTTGCTGTGAATTGAGTGAAGGTTCATAGGGCAGATTCATTTTCCATTCAGAAACTCATATACATTTTGCTTCATGTCCTTGATTGCAATTCCCACAATACAACATCACGTATTCACTTCCTCCCTGTGTTTCCTGTTTCCGTTCCTCCTCCTTTCCTAAGCCTTCTCAACTTGGTCCTTAGGCAGATGTTGCTCTTTTGGTCTCAAAAGGTTTGATTATTCTCAGGTGTGTGTTCCTCCCTTGTGTATTATTCCCTTTAGAGACCTGTCTATTGTTTGGCTGTAAATGTGAGTCCACTTCCAACCTGTAGGGTGACTAAGGGTTACAGTCTACCAGTCTCTATCTGACCAGTAAGCCTGGTAATTTTTTTTAAGTTTTTATTGTAAATTGAGTGATAGTTTACATGGGAGAACATCAGCTTTACACTCATTCTATTGTATTTCGTTTCGTTGCAGTGATTACAATCCCCTCCATGCATCATCATTTAATAGTATTTGCTTCTATATCCTCTAGTTACTATTATTATTATTTTGGATGCACATCAAAACAGGAATATACAATCATTCAAACACCCAAAGGGAATACCCTGCAAGCCTGCCCCCCGGCCGCCAGCACACAGCCCCTCTCCCTCCATGAGTCTAGAGTACCCAGCCGCTCCATCTCTCTGCCTCTATCTCTGGTGTCTGTCACTGCTTCTCTGAATAGGGTCCCACACTCCACTCCTGCTCTTCTCCCTTGATGGTCCCAGGGGCCTATACTCCTGGATTGCTAGATCAACTACTTCCCTCATTTTACTACAAAATCTCTACCTTTACAGTTGCAATAATCACAATCAGTCATGATAACAATTATTCACTATTGAACCACAAGAGTCTTATCCCCATCTCCTTTCACCAGCCCTGTCCAGACAGGATGAAAACCACTCAGTGGAGACTCTATCTTCCCTCGTACTCTCTGAAACTAAACTCCTTCTTGAAAACTTGTAAGCCAGTCACTTTGTGCTTTTATAGCCCCTCCCCATTTTAGGTAGCCAATATCTAAGTTGCCCATCCCTATCAATCCTGTGTACCAAGGGGATGGGAATTATTCTTGCTGTGAAGATTCCTTCCCTCTCAGTTGATATTATAAGCTCTGGTAGCGTAGTGGTTACGAATCGGGCTGCGAACCTTAAGGTCAGTGGTTCGAAACTACCAGCCGCTCCGTGGGAGAAAGATGAGGCTTTCTACTCCCATAAAGATTTACACCCTCGGAAACCCTGTACAGGGTCGCTATGGGTCGGAACCGACTCGAAGGCACTTAACAACAACAACAACAACATCCATAAGTAATGGACAACTTCATCAAATTGTAGCAAATTACACTTGTTTTCTTTATTTAAAAAAAAAAAAAAGTTTTTTCTTTTTCTTCCTCTAGTCGAGTTCTGATCATCAGCCATTGAAGCTAGGTCAAATGGGTACTATCTGCAAGTATGGGTGTTCTTGTGCATTTCCTCTCAGTTCATATTAACTGGACGCTTCACTCTCCACCCTAGTCCTCTGTAAGCCTGGTCATTTTAATGATTAATTTCAACCACTCTGGAGTGTACACATGGTACAATTCCAAGACACAATTCCATTCGCCATGTTGTGCAACCATTACCACCATCATTTCCAAACATTTTTTCATCACCCCAAGCAGAGACTCAGTACCCCTTAAAAAAGTGTATCTCGGGCCCATGATGAGGGAGATGTTGGCGAAGCAGCCACACAATCCTCTCCAGACCCTGTAGCGCCGCAACCTGGAACTGAAGCAACAGGTTGATGGTTTACTTTCTGAGACCCAATTGAAAGGGACTCTAGAAGCCAATAAAAGTCGAGATATTTACCAAAAGATGTATCCAATTAAAACATGCAATCAATGAAAATAAAAATGCTTTTCAAAAATAAAGCAAAGCTGATAAACCTGTACCTGTTAGGAACTATCAACAGAGAAAAGTAGACGAGCATAATCTTCTGCATAAGCTAACCCACCAACTCCAAGCACTGGCTATAACCATAAGTAGAGAAAACATAACTGGAATTGGAACACTTACTGAAAGAGAAGATGATAATGATTCTGCTGAAGAAGGCGAAGAAGAGGAAGAGGAAGAGGAAGAAGACAGTGAAGAGAGTGGTGAGGAGGAAAAAGGAACAGAAGAGGAAGACAGACAGGAAAATGATTCTCACAAAAGACAACAACGAATATATTGCTCTTGGAGATTTTTACTGCTGAACAAGTTGGGAATCTTACATTCAAGAAAGGGGAGATTCTCCTAGTCATTGAAAAGAAGCCTGATGGATGATGGATAGCAAAGAATGTGAAAGGAAATACAGGTCTTGTTCCCGGAACCTACCTGGAGCCCCATAATAAAGAAAAAAACATCGAGTCCAGTGAAGAAGGCAGTGAAGAAGATGTGGAGGTCATGGATGAAACAGCTGATGGAGCAGAAGCTAAGCAAAGAACTGATTCTCATTGGAGTGCTGTTCGTAAAGCTATCTCAAAGCAGATAAGCACTGTTGAAGTGCTAACTACCATGGGCACTGTTCCTGTAGGGTTCCCACCTTCCACACTCTCCCATCTTCTGGAGAAAGGGAATCAATTTCGAGCAAGTTACTTCTTAACAACCAGAGCTCAGTCCATCACAAGTGGCCGTCAGAGATTTGATGTGGGATGTTGAAGCAGGCACTAGTAAGCCAAGAACAAGTCGTGTTTCATTGATTCTGACACTATGCAGCTGTAAAATGATTCCTCTCCCAGGAATGAACATACAGGTTCTAAGCACACATGTCCACCTCTGTCTGTTTGATGGTACCAAGGTTCTGAGCAACATTCATATTGTCAGAGCCACATGGCAGCCTGAAAAGCCCAAAACATGGACCTTTTCTTCCCAGGTTTCTGGCATCTTGCTATGCTGGCTTGATGGTGACTGTTTTATCAGGTCCAATTCTTCATCGCCAGATCTTGGGATATTATTTGAACTTGGAATTTCTTATATTCACAATTCAACTGGTGAAAGGGGAGAGTTAAGCTGTGCCTGGGCATTTCTTAAAACTTTTTGATGCCAGTGGAATTCCTATCCCAACAAAGACTTACGAGCTCTTCTTGAATGGTGGCACCCCTTATGGAAAAGGTGTTGAAGTGGACCTTTCAGTATCCAGAAGAGCATAAGGCAGTGTTTTCCACCAGATGCTGACAATGAGAAGACAGCCTCACCTTCTAGTAAAGCTGAGATCTTTGAACAGAAGGTCAAGAACTATCATAAGCCAACTGCCAGAAACATTAGTTGGAAGTATGTGCTGCATTTACTTGCTGGTGTTTTATCGCCGAATCCTCGGAGATATGCTCCTGAAAGACAGGACAAGCTTGCCAGGTGCTGATTTAATTAGTAATCCAGTACTGGTCACCGTCCCCAAGATCTTGGACCAGCCTGATATTATGGATGCTCTAGACCACGTTTATCCTGGTCTACTGCAAGGTCAGTGGTTCAAGCTCACCAGTTGCTCCTTGGAAACCCTATACAGGGTCGCTATGGGTTGGAATCATCTCGACGGCACTTGACAACAACAACAACCATGACTGAGGAGTCCTGGTGTGGCGCTGTGGGTTAATGTGCCAGACTGAAAAGCCATTTGAACTGCAGGGCCGATGGTTTGGAAAACCTATATAGGGTCGCTATGGGTTGGAACCGACTTGACGGCACTTAACAACAACAACCACCATGACTGTGTTTACCCACTGGTCCATTTTATGCTCCTGCCCCTGTTCAGGTGAGCAGAAGAAGAAACGGAGGCTACGCGATGGAAAGTTGTTGCTGACTTCCTTAATTAAGCAAAACCAAGAAAAGGAGGGTGCGCGCCAGGCTCTGCTGTCACCAGAAGGAGTTCGCGAACGCTTTGACCTTTCCGAGCAGACCTATGACTTCTTAGGTGAAGTAAGAAAGAACGCAACTTGACAGTGGCTAGTGGCAACTCTCAGTGCCCCCAGAGTCTGTTGGAGGCCCCATCCTGTGACAGCCAAGATGACAGAAGCTAAGTGGTTGTCACAATATACCTTTGGCCTCACTTGTTTGTACAGAGCCATTCTGTAATAAATAGTTATCCAATAATTAGAAATGTTTAAAACAGTACAATACTTTTTTTAAGGAATACTGTCAGATCTAGATTGAAAGAATATTTTTCAAAAGTCATCTACATTGATTGTATTGATAGATTTACATAAAAGTGATTTATATCAAAAGCTAAATTTATGATTATTGAAAAATGTGAAGCTATAACCCACTGAGTGTGAGAAAATATTTGTAAATCATATATCTGATAAGGGTGTAAGAGGGTCAGAGAAAAGAAGACCCCCAACTAGATGGATTGGCCAAGTGCAGCATCAATGGACTCAAGTGTGGCAACAGTAGTGAGGTTGGCCCAGGATTGGGCGGTGTTTTGTTCTGCTGTGCATAAGGTCGCTATGGGTCGGCACTGACTCAATGGCACCTAACAACAACAACAACAACAACACCCATAATACCTAAATTTATGATTATTGCTAATAAAATTTATGCTCTGAAATGAAGGGGAAATCAGAGTAACCTCTGTAAGAAAGTTATATTAGTACTTAATTCAGTTTAATATTTAAATGTCATTTGTCCTAATGAGAGACAGAAGCAGAATCGTTTTAAATCCATGGCATGAGTACTCTTTCAAAAAACAGCCTTTCAAGCATTGAAGAATGAGTTCGACTCCTTTCAAATGACAAACATGACCAGTCAAGTTATGCTGCATTCCAAAGAAATGTGTGACTCCTGGTAACAAAAGGAAAAAAGAAGAAGCAATATCTCTCCAATGCCTTCTTCCCCCTGTCCTGGGTAACCACTAATAAACTTTAGTGTCTACGTATTTGTCTATTTGTCTTTTATGTTTGACATTTTGCTCAATAGCATGTTTTCAAGGTTCATCCATGCCATAGCATGCATCAGAACTTTGTTTCTCTTTATGGTTGAACAATAGTCCATTGTATGGGTATACCACATTTTGCTTATCCATTCATTGGCTATTTCGAACTTGGTTGTTTCTATCTTTTGGTTGCTGTGAATAGTATTGTTGTGAACATTGGTGTCCCGGATCTCTTTGAGAGTCCCTGCTCTCAAGCCCAGGAGTAGAATTGCTGGACCACATGATAGACAATGTACTGTGCTTTTACCATAAAGAAACTTATGAAATTTAAATATTGTCTGCAATCAATTTAAAGAAGTGGCTCGAATAGATCAGGATCAAACCAAGTCCCTTATTCTTTAGTCACATCCGGGGAGAGTGACGGAAGGGTTTGTGAGTGGGTCTTTCTAGAAGACAGTCCTAAGAGAAAAGATGGGCAAAAATCTGTGACGGGTATATCAACAAAGGAGCCTGATTTATGAGTCAAATTGAAATTGACTGTGAGTCTATCTACAATGTTTGGGGTCCCTGAAACATTCATAGAAACCTAAGTCATTCATGTCCATTACCTGTCCCCATGGATTCTTCACCCTTCAACTTACTCTTCAGGGTATAGAAGATCATTAATGAAATCTGCATTTTTTCTTACACATTAATGCTCTAAAATCATTACCTCATATTTTAACTACATCCAAGCTCATTTAAAAGCTTCCTGGGATCATCAGAAAGCAGCTCAATAATATTGCTCACCATAAGTTTCTTCTGGAGGTTTCCAGAAGAAAAGGGCTTTCAACTTGTAGATCATGCATTCGCTCCCACCTCCAGTCTCCCAAGAGTCCCGACTCCACCCCCTTCGCACACACCCTTAACTGGGTTCCCAACAAGTCTTACCTGGCCCAACTCCCACTTTGATGATATCTGCTCCAGAAAGGATAAGCTCTTCTACCATCTCTCCCGTCACCACGTTCCCAGCCTGAGACAGAAAGCATGCAGTTTATAATCACAGGGATGAGTGAGGAATGTCACACTTACCCACAAGGACAAGCATGCTTGTCCTGAAGTTACCAGATAGCCTGTGTTGTTGTTGTTGTTGTTAAGTGCCTTCATGTTAGGGTTCCTCATAACGACCCTCTGTGGGGTTTCCGAGGACCAGCTGGTGGGTTTTAAACCTTGTGGTTAGCAATCCAGTGCTTATCCTACAGTGCCACACATGTGGGACTTGAAAATTGAGAGAAAACACTGGACTCAATCCCTGCCTCTGTTTCAAGTCTGAAATTAGTGGGCAGGACATACAGCCCAAGAAGACTCTCTTGTTTCCTTCTCTATTGACATCATTGTCCTCATTGAGTGCCTTCATGCCAATTTCCAATGCGTAGTGACCCTGCATTGCTAGAGTAGACCTGTCCCACGTTTTCTTGGCTGTAATCTTTATAGGAACACATTGCTAAGTCTTCTCTCACCGAACTGCTGAGTGGCTTAGAAATGCCAGCCTTTCACTTGGCAGCCAACTGGCTTAATGACATATTGCACCACCCAGAATTTGGTACCTGGAGGCTATTTTTGGGAACAACTCCTAGGTGAGCTAATGCTATTAACCATTGTCATCGAGTCAATTCCAACTCAGCAATTCCGGTTTCGGAGACTGCAAATCTTTACAGGAGCAGACAACCTCATCTTTCTTCTGCAGAGTGGGTTTGAATGGCTGACTTTTCGGTTGGCAGTCCAATGTCTAACCCATAGCACTGCTGGGCTCCTTGAATGCTAGTAGAAGGTACTCTTTAACACATGGTGTCACCACGCATTGGAATCAACTCAATGTCAACAAGTTTGGTCTTCTGTTTCTGTTGTTTGTTTTGGGGTACCTTCATCATAAGCTGGAATCTATTCAATGGCAACAGGTTTCAATACTTTTGTTTGGTTCTTCTTTGGTACCTTCACCATGAGTTGGAAATGACTCACTCAATGGCAACACATTTGGGTTTTATTCTAATGCCATTGCTGTTGTTACGTGCCGCGGAGTCCGTTCTGATTCATAGTGACCCTGCATAGGGTTTAAAAAGGTTCCAAAAACAACAGAAGCTCTAGCAATGACATTAGGTCAATTAATTATGATGTCACATGAAACCATGACCCTAAACCTCCAAACCAAGAAACCACATCCCAGGAGGGTTTTTGGATGTATATAAGCAGCCTTGGCAAAGGAACTCTGGTAGCATAGTGGTTATGAATCAGGCTGCGAGCCGCAAGGTCAGCAGTTTGAAACTACCAGCTGTTCCATGGGAGAAAGATGAGGCTTTTTGCTCCATCAAGATTTACAACCTCAGAAATCCTGCACAGAGTGGCTGTGAGTCGGAACCGACTTCACAACACATAACAACAACAAGCAGCCTCGGCAGCCACTTGTGTTTGTGTGTGTTGTTGTTGTCAATGTATCTTATACGCAACTTTTGCCAATTCAACCTTCTACAAGTGTAAAACTTATTGTCAACAATCATGTTAATCAGCTGAGTAACCCTACTCTTAATCAAAGAGATTTTTCCATCACCAATAGCCCCCCTTTCTCCCTTTCTCCCACCCCTACCCTAACCTAACCCACTGCCATGGATTCAATTCCAACACAACAGACTCTGTGTAGGGTTTCCAAGTCTATAAATCTTACAGCAACAGAAAGCCTCATCATTCTCCCATGGAGTGGCTGGTAGGCTTGAACTGCCAACCTTTTGGTTAGCAGTTCAGTGCTTATCCTGCAATGCCATCAGGGCTACCATACCTAATAGACTTTGTTTTCTATACATTTGCCCCTTCTTGTCTTTTTATAAAGTGAGGTCACACAACGTTTGTCCCTTTGTGACTTATTTCATTCAGTATAGTGTCTTCAAGCTCCATCCATACTGAAGTATCTATCAAGATTTCATTTCTCTGACAGGCTAAGCAGTATTTCATAACATGCATGTACCTCATTTTGTTTATCCACCCATCTGTTGATGGGTATTTAGGTTGCTTCTACAATTTGGCCATTGGAAATAGTGCTGCAGCGAATACTGATGAGTAAGTCTGAGAGCCTCTGCTTTCAAGTCTTTTGAGTATACAGCTGACCCTTAAACAGTGCTCAAGGGTCAACTGGATACCCAGGAGTGGAACTGCAGCTGCTCCTCGAAACCCTATAACAGGGTCACTATGGATCAGAACTGATTCCATGACAACATGGTAGATCTATTTTTAGTTTTTGAGACACTATCACATTGTTTCCCACAATGGCTGTACCATTTTGCATTCACCAGCAATGGGTGAACATTCCAATTTCTCCATTTCTTGCTATTTGTTATTTTGTTTGGGTTTTTGTTGCTGTTGTTACTTTAGCCGTCCTAGTGGGAGTGAAGTGTTACCTTGCTGTGGTTTGGATTTGCATCTCTAATGGTTAATGATGTTGAGCTACTTTTCATGTGTGTGGCGGCCTTTGCAAGTTCTCTTTAGTGAATTGTCTATTCAAGTCCTTTGCCCACTTTATAACTGTGTGATTTTTTTGTTGTTAAGTTGTCGACCTTTTATATATATTATTAGATTCTTGTTGGATGTTTGGTTTCCAAAGATATTGTGCCAGTCAGTAGCTTGTCTTTTCATTTTTTGAGTAGTTTTTGATGAATAATGGGTTCTAATTTTTATGAGGTCCCATTTATTTGTCTTTTACTTTTTATGCTTTTGTTGTTATTATTTTTAGATAATCCAGATAATCCATTGTTGAGAGCTAGCCTGATAGTGTTACCCCTGCTTATTCTTCTAAGAATTTGATGGTTTTAATTTGCACATTTAGGTCTTTCATTCATTTTTCATTTGTTTTTGTGTATGCTGTGAGGCACAGGTCCCGTTTCATTTTTTTTTGCAGGTAGAATTCCAATTTTCTCAGTGCCATTTATATACTTATTAGGTATATATATATCCCACAAATATATAAGAGCTTGAAAAAGGAGACATGGATAACCAAAGGGAGGAGCCCTGGTGTGGTACTGCATGCTCCTATTGCTATACTAGTTAGTACCAGGCTGTTTGGATTATTATAGTGTTATTTTTTTTTTTAAATCAGGAAGTGTTTTTTCTATTTCTGTAAAGAAGACTGTTGAAATTTTTATCAGGATTGCATTGAATCTATAGATTACTTCAGACAGTGTACAGGGTTTCCAAGACTGTATACCTTTACAGGAGCAGAAAGCTTCATCCTTCTCCATTGGAATAGCTGGTCGTTTTGAACTGCTGACTGTGAGGTTAGCAACCCGACTCGTCACCACTACACTATTTGGTATCATAACAATATTAAGTCTTCCAATCCATGAACATGGAACATCTTTCCATTTATTTAAATCTTTAATCTCTTCCAGCAGTATTTTGTAGTTTTCACTGTAGAGTGCTGATTAGATTTCTTCCTAGATATTTTATCCTTTTAGTTTACAAGTTAGGTTGCTAACACAAGGTCAGCAGTTTGAGTCTACCGGCTGCTCCGAGGGAAAAAGATGTGGCTTTCTGCTCCTGTAAGCCTTACAGCCTGTACAGGGTCAATATGAGTCAATATTGTTTCCATGGCATACCACCACCATTTTATCCTTTTAGATGCTGTTTTAAATGGAATTGTTTCCTTAATTTCCCCTTCCGATTTCTCATTGTTGGTGTGTAGAAACCCAGATGATTTTTGTTTATTGCTCAGTTAGGGTTTTTTGAACACTTCAGCAATGGACAAAACAAAATTTTAAGAGAAATCTAAATAGCGAAAGTAAGCAATGGTAAGCTCTCACAGCAGATGGAAATTTTTATTGTTGGGCAATCCAATGCTTCACAATTTGCAAAATCCTTGAAAAACCTGTAGAGCACCCCAAAGCTCTAAAATTAGATAAATACTTATCATTACACAGTTGGAAAACACCAGGTCTCACACCCTTGAGGCAGTGGTTCCCATTTAGATATGAAGGTGTAGATTAGCCCCATGGACTACAAACCTTTGAAATGAACTCTAGAGGACATATAATGGGTTCTAAGTATAAGGACAGCATCCTGGTGTGACTCTGTGGGCTAACCTATCAGACAGCAAAGTCATCTGAACTGCAAGGTCAGTGGTGGTTCAAGCTTACCGGCTGTTCCTTGGAAATCCTATACAGGGTCACTATGGGTCAGAATCGACTCAATGGCACTTCACAACAACAGCAAGTATAAGGACAGGCCAGGAAGTGGCGAAATCTATCAACCAGAAGGATGCATCTGGGGTGGAAATAGAACAAATTCTTTCCCTGCAGGAGCCTGAGAGAGCAAAAATAGCCCTTTTATTAAAACTCACTGCCCTGTGGATTCTTTGGCTGGTACACAGGATACTGGCAAAGTGCCTGACTGACTTCTCACAATATGCAAAGCCATTATTTTAGAAAAGGCACATTTTTTGGCATTGAAACCCAAGTGCCATTTTCCTTAATTGATTCCCAGAGAGAATTTTTCTTCTTCAGGTGTGGCACTGTAGGATAAGCACTGGACTGCTAACCACAAGGTCAGTGGTTCAAACCCACCAACCTCTCCTCAGAAACCCTATACAGGGTCTGACTCAATGGCACTTAACAAGAAGCAGTTTTCCTACAGATTTGCAAGAACTCTTTATTAAGTTAGGTTCATAACTCTTTGTCATAATTGTAAATATGTTACTCCACATCCATTTAAATTTGATTATGTAAATTCATTAGTTATAGAATTTAACACTCCAGTACTTATCCTACAGTGCCACACTTGTTGTTAAGTGCTGTTGAGTTGATTTTGACTCATAGTGACCCAGCATAGGGTTCCCAATGAGCAACTGGTAAGTTTGAACTGCCGGCCTTGTGATTTAAACCGACCTTGTGGTCCAGTGCTTAATCCCACAGTGCTCCACCATTGTTGCTGTTGTTAAGTGCCATTTAGTTGGTTCCGACTCACAGCAATGCTGTATAGGGTTTCAAGGAGTGG